AAAGCATAATCTTAAAATGTATGTTTGTATTAATAAAACACCAAGTGATCACAATACTGTTGATGGTTGACGACACTGCAACTCATACAAATTCCGACACAAATAGCCCAAAGGAAATCATTCCAGCTCAGTGTTGAACATCTTGTTGGCAGTGAGCCTATTTGAGAGCATTTTCAACAAAAACAAAATGTTGATCAACTTCACAGAGACGTCACATTGTCTCGTTGTAAATCCAGAGCAGAATTCAAAAATAAAATTGTGCATTACATTAAAAGTAAAATATTTGGATGCTTTTATTCATAAATCTTACAATATTGGTGAGTTGCTAATTTTTCGATATGTAACATATTTTATTAATTACAATTTGAAAAAAAAAATATCGGATTAAAGAATTATTTTTAAATGCTTACGTTAAATTTTTTTTAAATGAATCCCTATTTAAGCAAAAATATATTGAATCACAATTAATTAATTGTTATTTAATTTAAATTATGAAAAGTGCTTATAATACTTTTTAAGTTTAGAAAAAAATAGGTTAAATAATAAGTTTATTCTTACCGGCCATTGCCAAAAAAAAATGCATTTTCATTGGCAATAATTTCATGTTGATCTGGAAATGATACATTTTTTTATACACAAATAGGTAATTATTTTTTGTTCAACTATTTTATATTCACAATATATTATTTAAAGTTTAAACATTAAGATAAACGTTTGTTCGAAAATACTGAGATTTATCAATGCTTTAATTTAAATCAATAACATAACTGAAGTATGATCTGCTGGCCTACACGCCACCGCAATTGAACGGTGTATCAAATAGGTATTGTTCTACGCCGATATAGCTCCTACAACTCGGCGGTTGGCTACATCGACTTGCGGCGTATAGGACGAACGGTTACCCCATATGATTACAACTTTAGCGTAAGGCTTTATAAACACGTTTATTCTACGCTTAACTAAAACGGGCGCCCAAGATTAAAATACTGGTACGGCAATAGCGGCTGTACGATTTACAATGATCGCGCCAGTTTAAAGGTTACAAAATTACATTCATACAAAGATGACCTGGTTTGAAATAACATGCCGCGGGACTGCTTCACCACTTTCCTCCTCCTTCGGACTCTCTATCGTAATGGCAGAAACAGGGCCGGTCTGGATCACTCTCAATGACAATCGTCGATGGCCGGAACGCCGCACGGGGTGTATGACAATGACACAGTGAGCCAAAAGGAAAACAACACAGGCTCGGGGTGGTGAGGGACGACGAGTTGCGTCCAACTCGACCGCACACAAAAGACAAGAAGACAGACTCCAAGCTCGACCGTATTCGCAAAACGGCGGCGGCCAGCGGCGCTAGGTAGGGGTAGGGGATGCTCTCGAGCTTCGGCGCCGGCAGGGCGGCGGGACGAACCGGTTTTACGCTTGCGCGGCGCGACGACCGTTCCGTGTTCGAACAGGTATAATATTTATAATTTTATACTTAAAATATTTTTTATTCATTTCTAAGCTCGGTGAGTACCGATAATCGGATAATGTTACGTTCAACATTGACTATTACAGAATAAGTAAGCAATTTTGTATTTGGCAATAGGTTATACTTATTGGCACAAAAGATAAAAATCACAAAATATATTTATATTCAAATAAATCTTATCTATATTCAGAAAAAATGGATACGTTTTTTCCTTGAAAACCAATGCTTCTAGACAGGTAAAAAGTAAAAAAAAAAATTATAAGTGTTTCATATCCCGTATAGCAAACATAGAAAAATATCGTAGTTTACGCTGTATAGTTTATATGACGCTTATATAATGTATATAATATTATTTTTAAGTGGATATCGATATAAGTTTGTATTATGTATTTATATAGATTATGGATTAATTTTACGATGTTTTTTTAGGATTTATTTTATGTGGCATCACGAGTCACGACGTTACGCTCATTGCAAGTGCACTATTTTTATAGTTTAATTTTTTATCGGGATGACTGCCATTGATATTATCAATTATCATGTTGCTCACACGCTTATGTTAATTTTGTACACTAACAAGTTACCGATCTGGATAAGTCTCACAGCATGGTGAGCACCATTGCTACAGTTCGATAGAGACATAGGCCACCTAGCTATACTAAAAGGGTATAATATCTCGTCAAATTATGGAAAACAAATAATTGCAAGAAAATTTATCGTAATTGGGCCGTCGGAACAATGACGCAATGAAAATGAAATTTTGAATCAAGTGCCACAGACAACAATAATAACGCGGCTTTTTAACATACCTATCAAACTGCAATAACTATTGAAGCATTGATTGAGTTATACGTATTTGTTGTTTATAAAGAAGTGTATAGTAACACAAAAATAAGATAAATATAAAAATACTTCTGCTTATAATTTTACTATAAGATCTGATGGTAAAATTAAGAACCTGTATAATTCTCTATATACTTATAAGTGCTGAAGAATAATACCAGATGAAAATATTAGAATTAGACTTCTACCTTCCTTCAGATGTTCCGACTTTCCGAGTGCTCTCGACTTTGTGTATTCGACAATCTGATCAAATACACATTACAATATACTATAATTATGTGTGAGCACATCATTACATACGCTTTGCACATTTTTTGTATTGTGCCCCCACAATACATATATTGAAATAAAAGAGAGAGTAAAAAAACAAAAATTTGAAAATTCTAAAGTGGAAAATTGAAATGTAATTTAAATTGGGCTTGTATCATTTATTTGTTTATACAATCTATAATGGATGATAGAAACAAAATTAAAGTTAACATACATATAGGGAGATATTGTGTTTCTATTATTGATATTGTTCTTATATTAATAACTAAACAAAATGCTAATTCAAACTATAATATAAATGGGGATAAAACCACTAGTGATGGAACGTCCTCTGGTCAACACAATCTAAATTTAAATAATACAAAGGAATTTCCAAGACTTCCTGTAAACATGTATCACTCTCAAAATAACAAAGATAATCCAAATAAAAATAAAAATATAATAACAATTCAAAAATGTTTAATACTCAACCCGTTAACAATTTAACCTCACAATTTTCCTTCTTCTTGTCAGAATTAATATTAGTAATAAATCTTTTCACTTAACTTCTCACTATTGTCATATATAAACGTTTAAAAGATGATAAATAGACAAGCAAAATTAAACTCCCTTAGTATGTTCTTTTGAAACACAAACGGTCTTAAACATCATGAACCTGAACTACTCGATATATTCATATAAAAACATATAGGCATAGCACTCGAAAACCCACTGCACTCCAAATACTAAAAACTTCTTCCTTGGGTATAACATATACCAAACCGACTATTGTGATAGCTCTGCCCATGGTGGCTTGACCATTATAATTTCAAAAATAATACTATGTCAACCATTACCTAATCACAAAACTAACACTATCCAAGCCACAAACATCTTAGTTACTCTGAATCATATTCCAGTAACTATATCCTCAGTTAATTGTCTTCCAAGGCTTGCAATATCATTCGACCATTTCTCCCAATTTCTAAACTCACTTGGTCGTTTGTTTCTTATTGATGGATACGTCAATGCCAAACACTCATAATGGGATTGCGCACCAAAAAACCAGGGGAAGGATGCTCAAAAATATCACACGAACACACGAACTACATTCATATCTCCTCCGAAAACTATTACCGATATTTTGGACTATTTCTCAACGACAATTCCAAGACCTATAATCGACTCCATAAAAAATCTAGTAGATCCAGTATGTGATTCAGTCCAGTACTTCTCAATCTGAATTGAGAGATTTCCTGCAAACCTCCCCGTAATTCCTTAGCAAAAGGACCAGTCAATTGGAGCTCCTTTTCAAAAAATCTAGAAAATTTGACTAACCTAAAAACCTTACTTAAATCGACAAACTAAATCGATGAAGTAGTGCAAAGCCAATACAAAGGGCCATTTATAAATCGTCACATCACAAGTACACCTAATAAATTAAAATATAACATTCTCCTCCCCCTCCCCCCCAAAAAAAATCTAAAACCATGGTCTTCTCTATAAATTTAAATAATTCCACCCAGCACCCTACAACCTAATAGTTAGGTCCGATCTTACATTAGAATTTCGACAAAGCGACTCAATATCCTCTTACTTTCCAATCTTTGCGGATGTTCCTCAAGGAAGTGACTTGCCGACCGATCATATATTTTAAAGATACATCAGATATTCCAAGTACAGTAAACACAACCGGTATGAACATCAGCATACTTATAAATATACTCATGATTACTATAGCCAAAATAAACGATGATTTGCGGCATTTGTATTTATCTATAATTACACCAAGAACTGGTTGTAGCAATAAGCCTGGAAGTGAAAGTACTGTGAAGATTAAACAAATGGTGGCTGGCTAATAGTGCCTTTGTTTCGACATCGTTGCCAGGAATGGAGTTATCGAGCCTTGTACTATGTATTATATGAATAGTTAAATTGTTAATATGTTACTGTAGGTTATACACATAAAGTTTTAAAGTAAGTACCTTTAGTACCTATAACATAAAAACATTATAACAAGGAATTCCAACCTGTGGGTCGTGACTTCCAATAGCGCCTTAGGTTAATATCAAGGAAGCCGCGTCCGCGGTAGAATATAAAAATATGTTTATTTTATAACTATCAATATTTGTGTGGAAGCCATTAAATTTTTTTTCAAAGTCAGAAGAGAAATGGATCCAAAAAGTTTGAAAATCCATTCATTTAAATAAATACGAATAATTAAGATACATTATACATCATATTATTTATTGCATAATATAAAATTATAGACATATAGAAAACTGGCGAGGCAAATGAATCATTTATAAATATGCAAAGTCCATTCTCCTCAATCTCACAAGTCATTTGTATAATTAATAATATTTAATATTTTACAAATTTAAAATTTAAAATTACAATAATGTATAAAACCTAAATACTCACTCATCGCTATTACTCAAAAGTGATATAACGTATGAAATTGAAATTTGTAATAGAGATTCCTCTAATGATCTAGACATGCAATACAGAACGGTTTTAAAAACAATTTAATTTAAAAGACAGTGAATGCACCACGGGTTTTAGTATCAACATAATTTATATAATTTATATAATATTAATGTAGAATCTAAAAGGTTTATAATATATATAAATTAATAAATAATGATATCCTTTATTATATTTTTAGTTACAACATAAACTATGTTATATAAAACTACTTATACAGAAGCAGTAGTATTTTACTATATAGTAAGTTTTATATTTATAAAAATATGTTTCTTAATATTCTAAATACAAATCATTTTGTACAACAAAAAATTCAAAAAGTTAATTTAGCTTATAAATTATTATTATCAATATTAGGACAATCGGTAGAAGACGCATTTTCTTTAACATGTTTGTCTTTAGAATATCGATTCAGCAATGAATTAACAGTAGTTTGGGCAATGCATATCGCTAACGCAGTACCACTTAAAAATTTAAATGAAGTGATACTTCCGAAACGATCAAACATATAACCACCAACGAAACTTCCAACAGGTGCTCCTATAACAGAATATTTATGTTTTCAACCGATCTATAAAAATAATAGACATAATAGTACATTGAATAAATTAATATATTTCCTGCAGGTAAGTGCAACCTACCAACATATTTTGCTTAAAGTGTAAGATACCTACCAAATGGTAGCCGAAATTGGATATTTTAACGAAAAATAACAATTTTATTATTATATTGTAGACTAAAATTAATTTAACTTAGGTACCGTATTAAGAAGGTACTAATAAAAAATGTAATTACCTATAGCAATATGAATACTAAAATAATTGTAATATAAAATATCCTAGGCTGACAGACTGTTGGTTTTCTGAATCGTTTTTCGTATACCATGTATATTATTGTATTAAAATATATCTATTGCAGACTACAGTGATATGATCAATAGCCAAGTACACTTATCAGTCATCATCAATTGTAAGTATAATAGAACGGTTACCTATTTTATTATATAATCATAGTAAATTAATTTTACTTTGTATTTCCTGGCCATTACATATCAATCGACATAAGCTGGTACAATTGTTAATATCAGTAGTAGGGTCATATACTATACTAGAATAGTAGATCAAACACTTGATATCATCCGAGATATGTAATTATAGTCAAATGTAAATCGCATACCTATTCCCTGCAATGCCGTTCCAACGATTCCTTGAAGCGTTCCTTCGGCACCAACAGGAGCTAATTCTGCTGCATACGAAGTCGCTGCCGAGTATGCCAACGCGAACGTTAAGCCATTGAGCAATTCGACTGGTAACACCCAAACGGGATTTGTAATTATGGAATACAGTAAGAATCTGACGGCAAACAGGAAAAACATTAAAGAAAACACTTTCATGTTATCCACCCGTTTGAGAATAAAGCCTAGAGATAGTGATAATAATAAATATGTAATTATATAAATGTTCTAAGTGGCTTTAAATGATGCTGTATTTACTGGACAGGAAGAAAAATGGAACTTCTCCACCAACACATTGAATTGTTTGAGTCAACCCTTCGAGCGACTTTATGTTCGGTATGGTTTCAGGATGGTACATTTTCGATAGGTCTTCCAAATACCTGTGTGATTTTAACATATGAAATTAATTTTTAGTAAAATAATTAAGTTTAATATATATTAAAACGTAATAAATTATTGCTTACCAAAATAAATAATACCATATAAAGGCGTTGAAAAATCCAAAGGCTACAACCCATAAAAGAAATGATAGTACTCTTACATCAGCCAAACATTTTTTTACACCAGATGCTACAATTTTACTTTCAATATTTTCAACAACCTTAAACAATAAATATAAAATAATTGCATTATTTATTCTTTAATTTAATTTAAAAGAATTACAAATCTTATTCAAATTGGCTGTATGATTTGATATTAAATTGTATAAATATTTTAGGTTGTATATATAAATGTATAAAAGAAAACGATGTACCTACCTATACTATTAGTTTTATATCTTAAATAAATAAGCGGTAATTATTCCTATTTTAATTATTCCAACATATATTGGCGTATAATTACGATATATTTAATATAATGTACTTCTAAAGTCTCAACATTTCCTATAAAATGAACAATCAAATAATATTTACCTTAATTTTCAATGCAACAAATAAATCTAAAATGCCAGCCATCAATGCAATTATTATACCAGGAGTATAGTTTTTGTAGTCTTGACCTTTACTGAACCAATCTATAACCATGCCGGATACAAATGACATCGTACCCCAACCAATTGATCCCCACACTCTCTGTTCACCATATTTATATTTATTTTCACCTTAAGGAAAATATCAAGTAAATCAGAATTATAGAAAATTGAAAAACAAACGTAATACATATAAAACTATAAAAATGGCGATTACAAATAGTAGTATTTACATTGAATTCACTTACTAAAAACAGAACACAGTATAATGTATTCGCTAGTACTAATTAACCAATAAATAATTTTAAAAAATGAATGTGTAAGTGTGTGATAGCTACTAGATTATTTATCATACCTCAGTACCTCTCTATAGCGGCAGCTAGTGTAATAGCCACGGGGCCCGGACATGGACGAACAGGAGGTGAGTTACCTTGGCCCCACCACTTACTCTAAATATATAAAAATTAATATCAAATTATGTAATATCATTTGTAATCATTTGTAACCACCAAAAAACATTTGTAACCTAACCAAAACCGCTCAAAACCAAGTATCTGTGTGGCGGGGCCGTGGTGATGTCACTATAGTCCACCACTACAGATGTTTGACTTATAAGTAACCTAAAGGTAGTGAAAATTATGTAATATAATTTTAATAGTATATGCAGAAGTTAGGTTATATTTTATCGTATATTTTGTTGTTTATCAGGCTTTTATATTTAAAACATACACAAACAGTTTACAAAATATGATAAATTGTTGGAAAGAATCATCACTGAATCATAATAAATATCTTGAGAAGTCCATAATCGATGGTCTGTCCATATACCGTTTTGTAGTGGTATTTATGACAGTGCATACCTGATATTTTGATTATAGGTACTCCAGGAATATATTTTTTGTCTTACCTACCTATACTTTAAACTTTTAAATATCTTAATTCTAAATTCCTAAATTCTTCATATATATTTGTAATTTTAGTTCATAAGACTATTGTTTGTTGCTATATTATAGGTACCTAGCTTTATCATATTGTTGGTAAGTGTTGTAACATTTTTATGTATATCGTACAATTTACATACTTACTGTTAAATACAATATTATTATTATTTCGTGTCAAGCAACCTCGTGTATAAGTACTACTAGGAATAAAATTAATTTAAAATTAACAGCAATGAGTCGGTAATATTAAATAAATAAATTATAAAAAAAATAAATTATAGATATCATATCAAATAGTACATGACACGACACAAAACTTTAGACTTTAAACAGATTTAGTCGTTAAGTCCCATTCAGCGTACATGTGTGGTACGTTACAGTACACAGATATAACTTAACATGGCTAATAGGTTGAAAAATAATTTCGTACAAGTTGTACTGCAATTAAATCATGGATTTATAAATTTAAATTCATAGCTCATATGATTTTACACATATTATAGCATTATACTATAACACAGTCAAACAGACGAATATTTCACTAGCCCCCGCCTCCAAATATAATTTTTGAAAATGTTTTTTTGCCACACATTATTGTGCCATTAGTGTGAATTAGTGTGACTATTTTCAAAATTTGTGCGATACTGGTTTAACCGTAAATTCAAAAATATATAAGGAGGTATGATATAGGTATAGGTTACAAATGTTTTTTTGGTGGTTACAAATGATTACAAATGATATTACATAATTTGACATAAATTATTATATATTTAGAGCAAGTGGTCAAGGGGCCAAAGTAACTCACCTGCGAACAGGTACTTTTTTTTACCGGGATATATTTATTAGGGCCACATAATAAACCTAGCACCTATATATTGTATATAAAAAAATTTAACTTCTTTTGAGTTTTATCGTTGGCATATTTACTTAACAAATCTTGATCCATTCTATTTTTTTTTTTGTTATTCGAACATCGATTATATTTATTTATATTTACATTTTATACATTATTTAGTTTTAGCACAAAAGTACATATACAACAAAATAGATATGTATTTATACGGGTATCGACGAGTTTATTCAGAGGCCCCTAGGCCCTAACAGAGTATACAAATATTACAAATACGCATTAATACTGTACAGCTGACAGGGCGCCATATATCTTGTATTACATTTTTAAATCTTAAATATAAAAAGCAAAAAATGATGAATTTTTAACTCAGAATAATTTTACAAATTTTCATAATTTTATCAAAATACTAACTTTATACGCTCATAAAAAATTATTGAAAATTTAAGCTCAACTTTTTTTATTAATTTCTATTAACAACTTAAGAGGAATCTTGTATTACATGTTCAAGTATTTTGAATTTTGACCATGCAAATAGTTTTTTTCGAAAGAAATTTAGAAAAATAATAAAAATTGAAATTTCGCTATATACGTAAATCTAAAAAATTGTCAACAATTTAAAAACTTGAATGGCTTATAGAAAATGGTAATATAAGGCATCCGGTATATACATACATATATCAATAAATACAACATATATACAACAAATTTACAGTTTCTCGGTAAAAACTAGTCCTAAGTAAAAATCACAATTTTCCCTTAATTTGTTTTTTTGAGAACTACTGTACATTTTCTAAAATAATCTCATAAAAGCACCCACTAGATACACTTATTATCAGAAAAGATGCTGAGGTTAGAAATCAAAGAATTTTATTTCTACTAGAAAATGTTTGGACAGAAAAAAACTCACATCATTGTAAAATCTATTCATTCATCACCCAACCCTGAATCTTAAAAAAGTATTAATGACAAACTTTAATATTTTTTGAATATTAAATAAAATAAAAATGATAAACATTATATTAAAGTTGGATGGAGGTGATTATTATGATTCATTAATCATTATTTCCAACCAAACATTTCTATTAATTTATTTAAATATTTTGCGAAGTTATTGTGTTATCAATGTTGTCTAATAAAGTGCGTTTCTATTTTTATTTTAATGATCTATGACATAATTTTTGAGTCAATACTAAACATATTAATTGATCAACCTTGAAACTTTAGTGTTGCATTAAATATTATATTTTAATTAATATTTTATTTTAAGCAAACACTTAACAGTAGTAGTATACAGTACTTACTAGTTTCAGTATTTATGATAGTCAGGGGCATTACGAATATTTATGCTCTCCGTCCATACATAACGACTTATGCTGTTTATATTCATACATTTTTTTAACTTATTCGAGGTGGTTACAATTTCATCTGGACAAAACAGAATTTACAGACGAAATTCCTTTCATTGTAAATTCATTAGGGAGTACATAAACGACACTTTTTGTAAGTATCTATACCTATACTATTTTTATATTCGACAAATACACAAATAATTTTATTTGCCTTTTGCAACTTTAGCAGTAAACGTTTTTTTCATAATACTGTTACTTAATAAAATTAATAATAATAATAGTATTTCAAATAACTACATTTACCTAATAGACCTAGACATATAGTGTTCTCCAAAACGGACCTTGCCATAGTACCAGTGTTCAATATGGTGAGTGTGCCAAAAAACAACCAAAAAGTCGGTAACTTGATCACATCCACGTCGGAGATTTCCGTTTTAACGCTAGTGCCCGGTATAAACATCAGTACACAAACAAGTAGACTGTTGATAGCTATGAGTGAAATTAATAAAGACTTGCGGCATTTGTATTTGTCAGTTATAGCACCGACAAAGGGTCTTATAAATAACGCTGGAATTGGAATTAATGTGAAGACTAAGCCAACGACGACAGACGAATAGCCCCTCTGCATCGATATTGTTGACAAGAATGGAACTATCGGAGCAGAACCTGAATGAAAAGCGTAGATAAATCAATACCACATAATACGAAGTAAGTAAAAATAAAAATAATCAAAATGTATTCTTACCGGCTATTGCCAAAAAAAAATGAACTTTAATCGCTAAAAGCCTCTTGTCAATTTGAAATAAATACATGTTTTTTTATTTTATGAAAATCAATAATTATTTCGCTTATAATTTATTATAATATTAACATACTATAATAGAACGTTAATTAACTTTAAATATATCCTAATAAGACTTTAAAAAATATTTAAACTTGTCGATGTTGATAAAAGGACAGTTAATACTATCTTACTAATTTTTCAGTCTTAACCATTATATTTATATAAATTATTCCCCTCATTTTAAAAACTAATTAGTGCTTAGATACTATCTGTTAATTTACCATTTCCTATAGTCCAAGATGATTGTTTCAATATATAAAAAAAAAACAAATATTACGTATTTTCTAGAAATAGATGTTATCTTTAAATGGTAAAAATTATATATTAATAGTTAATTCAATTAATAAATATTTTATTGTTGTGATGAATAGTCGAGTCTTACATAGTACAATTACCGCCAATAATAGTTGGAAAAAATCGACTTACTTGTAAAAGTAAGACAATCAAATATTTTAAGTGATTGTTACATCTAAAATGCTAGAGAATAAAGTAGAGACGCTCAGGCAGTTGACGTGCTGGTAACGTTATTAGCTAACCGTGTGTTTTTATAAGTAGGTACTTAAAAAATTATACTTTTTAAATATTTCAGTGATAAACTATAATGATCACACAGTGCATTGAATATGAAGTGATAAAACACGACTTTCACAGGTTTATAGACTTTTAAATAACACTAAGACGTATCACCGAAAATACATATATTCAAGACAACGGAAAAAAAAGAAGCTGCTAAGTGAATGTCTCTCTGCTATACATTTGGTGTCTAGGAAGTCGCTGTAATGGATGGTATTAAATTTGAATTCAATGATATCATATATTCATGTTATTGTGTACGAAAAAACGAATCTGAGGCGGAGACGGTATGTCATCCTAGGATATTTTATATTATTATTACTTATTATTAAAGTTCAATTAATATTATTCTTAAATTATCAGTGATGCTGGAAAAATATTAAATATACCTATGTAAAATTGGGCTGTTTTGGAACCGAATTACAATAAAATTATAACCGTTATTCTTTGTGTTAATAAGCAATTTTGTCTAAATTTGAAATTAAAATGTCTGCAAAAATAACTGCATTCATATATTTTTTAGATTTTTAAAGTACGGAAAAAACTGCTTATGTGGAACCTTTTATTTAAATTTTAAATCCTTAGCTATAAAAATTGAACATTTTATACATTTTTAACTACAAAATCATTTTCAATTTTCAAAATTTGAACTTTAAATGCTTATAAAAAAAATTTCATGCCTATGTATTTTTAATATTATTTAACTGCTATTGTAAAGAGTTATCAAGAGTCTTTTATTAAATTTTAAGGCTTTATAACCCAACCAATAAAATTGTATTGACATTTATAGGAATGATAAAAAAAGGAAAATAGAAATGTCCGTCAACAACCTAAAACGTGTCAGAATATTTTGAAAATTTTATCAAGTATACCAAATAATAAAATAAACATTTGGTGTAAATTTCAAGTGTCTACAGTAATTCGTTTTTGAATTACAACATAATAAGAAAATCGCTACAAGAGAAATCGAGTGAATATCCACTGTTGTAAAAATTTTAACTTCAAACGTTCATAAAAATTGTATTTGAATTTAAAATAATAGTGTTTCAAATAACTACGTTTACCTAATAGGCCAATGCATATTGTATTCTCCAAAATGGATCTCGTCGTGATACCTGTACTCAATATGGCTACCATGCTGAAAAACAATCGAAAAATCGGTAACTTGATCACATTAGCGTCGGTAATTTGTGTTTTCACATTCTTTTACGGTATAAACATCAGTACACATACAACTATAGACTGTTGATAACTATGAGTAAAATTAATGCTGTCTTGCGGCATTTGTATTTGTCAGTTATGGCAGCGACAAAAGGTCTTATAAATAACGCTGGAATTGGAAATTAATGTGAAGACTAAGCCAACGATGATAGACGAATAGCCCTTTTGCATCGATATTGTTGACAAAAATGAAATTATCAGAGCAGAACCATAGATAAACATAGATAAAAATATTTTATTTAATATGAATAAAACATATCGACAAAAATGTTTTAAGAGGACCACGGCGATAGTACACATTTGTTGTTCACCTGTACTAGACGCATATTAAAAATACTAAATTTACGTTTAAAATGTACGATAAAGTTTTGTTATTTTTGATATTTGAATGCTTTTATCAAACTTGATTGCTAAGCTAATACAATAATATTTTTTTATAAAATATCAAAAAAAAAATACAAAAAATAGTCTATCATTAAGTTTGATTAAAGGTCATTTTTTCTGTTACAAACAATAATAAACCATACGCAAATGTGAAACTCTAATATGTCATCAAACAATTTGAATGCATATGTTTTATAGGACTCTATACTTCCTGAATACATATAAACAAATTTAATTAACGCCACTCACTACACACATAATATTTGTTTTTGTTACGCACATATATATTTTATACTAAATGTTGTCAAATATTCTATTGTTAAATATTAATTAGTCTAAAATTGATATTATAAATAATAAAGCACTTATTGTAATTATAGTAAGACTACAGTTTATAAAAAAAAATATTTATTCAATATACTTCAACGTATATTTATAGTAAATATGTATAACATTTAAAAATGAATGTAATAATTATAATTTTAACTATCGAAATGTATTCTTATTGGATATTGCCAAAAAAAAATGAACTTCGCCATCAAACGTTTCTTGTCAGTCTGGAATGTATACATGTTTTTTTTATTTTATGTAAATCGAAAAATCAATGATTATTTTGCTATTAATTATATTATTATCAAACTATAATAATAACATGTTATTCAACTTTAAATATGTTTTAGTAAAATATGAACAAATCTAAACGAGTAGATGTTAAAAAAAATATTAACATTAAAATAGAATACTAATTTTTCATTCAAAACTATCACACTTGTATAAATAACTCATCCTCATTTTAAAATCTAAATAGCACTTAGATACTATTAGTACATTTACCACTTCCAATATCTAATATAATACTTTTATAGTATATATTTTATTATTAAATAATGGTAAATATTAAATTAATTGTGATGAATAGTTGAGTCTTGAGTAGTACATTAACTGCTAAAAAATAATTGCAATAAATATTAAATGGATCATATATTTTAAGTGATTTTTAAAATTATTAACACAAATAGACTATACAGTAAAGACAGGCCGACAATTGAGGTGATAGTATAACCAACTATATGTTTTTTTATGCGTTTATAAGTAGGTACTTATAAAGTTATATTATATTTTATGAATTTCAGTGATACAGTATAATGATCACACGGCGTGTTGAATAGGCAATTTAAGTACACCACTGCCACAGGTATAAATGTTATGTAACACTACGGCCAAATTAGCAGAAATGCCAGCTAAATAAGAGACCATAATATAATAAAATATTTTACCAATAAACCCGAAATAATAACTTGGAAAGAAAATATCGGTTTTTGTTTTAGTTAATTATAAAATTGAAAGTAGAAGGAAACAAGTGTAAATATAATAATAATTTTCAATTGGCGTATTGTATACATTAATCGAAACTAATTTCAAAATTTTTAAAGTAAACTATTATTATCTTAAAAAGTATTATGATCAGGTTAGGTCATAAGGAAATATTTTTGAGTAAAGTTGGAACTTATATAGTAACCCGTATTACCCGTTACCCTACACATTAAATAAGTAGGTCGGGTACATTTAAAAAGCCTGAGGGTTAGCCGGTATTGTCGATAGTCATTAAATTAGGGGGTTTTCATATAGGTTAACTTTGAATATAATTAAATTTAGTAGAATTAGCCAAATTGAGCCAACCAGCCAGGTTGAGTTAAGAGTTGTAATTTTTCAGCATTGCGGAGTTTATTGTTCTTGTATTCATAATTGGTATCGTGCTAGCTAAACGGGTAACAGGCAATATAATATTATGTTGCTTTTTTTTTTTAGTTTTGTATTCAATTTTTATTCTCTAGTAATCACAAAGTTTAAATTTAAAAAAAATTCTATTCACTCACAATTACCTAGTTTAACGAATACTATTTTATTTTATATTTATTCACAGTTTGTTTTATTTTACTTTAACCAACAGTAACAGGTAATTCAGATGGTACGTACTACGTATATTGCAACGTTTGTCGTCATCGACATCGTAAATTACTTTTTAGGTAAAGCACGGGTAATATGCTGAGTGCGAGGAATGGCAAATGTGGTTGAAAAACCTATATACTGTCTCGGATTTCCCGCACGCTTCGCGATAATGACCGACCCCGACACCAGGTAGTTGATGGGTGATGGAGACCGTGAAGAGAACTCAGCAGGCGACCAGCTCAACCCTCAGTGGATATCTGCACTCACAACACCTCGGGTCAGATCGGTAACCTTCGTATCATGCTATGAGTAATGCATAATAAGAACTGTAATAGTTGTAATTATAGTAAGGAGTAGCATGTACTCCTTACTATTATTACAACTATCTTACTTGTTCCCTCTCCCTAATCTCAGTTACACATTTAATACAATCTCCATAAAAATCAATATAATAGTACATAATATATACCCGGTTAGATACGTTACTGCAATTTTGTGACGTATAATATTAAAATAGGCTTAATTCTTACAAGTTACAACGTATAATATTTACTATTTTACAATGTACTACATAGGTAACTGTAGTGAATTTTGATAATTCACTATGCATAAATTATAATATATGGCTTGCACAGCACATCTATATGCTTAAACTTACTTTTACAATATTATGGCCTCATCGAACTCCTTAAAAATGGACAGTGACCAATCACCTCAAATTCTTTACTTGGGCATCTATATAAAATATAATATCGTGTATATAATTCTATGGTGTAGGTTAGGATACCGACCTGTCCTGGTCGTCTTAGTAATATAATTTAATATTCATAATATTTACTTATATCTAAACAGGAAATGAAGTGCGCAGACACTTATGGTATAATATGTACTTCTATTTAATGTGATAGTATCCGTAAAAGGATTTAACGGACGTCGAACACATTCGACACTATCAAGAAGATCTTGTCATTGAACACTAACACACTAGCTGGTACTGAATACATATAATTCATCCTTGAGATATATTAATTGTACGATTAAAAAATATTCATTCACTGTAATGTTTGTAAACAACAGCTCGTTTAATTAATTACACTTGATTAATACATATGTTTAACTGTATATGTATAGGTACATTTTTAAATAGAATAGTAAATGCTAAATGAACAAGTTACAATCATTCATGATCATTGATCATGTAAATACTAAATTTGAAGAATAAAAATGTGACACATTGCATATTATGCTCTATTATTATTATTTTCTATATATTATAAATATACTGAAGTACACAGATGGAGCCTAATCGTCCCAATCTGATTCGTATACACAAACTAATTATATAATACTAATTTCTCGTATATTAATGGTGATAATAAAAAACAAATAATATTTTATTTTGCGGGCTTAGCCTTTTGAAAAAGTGTAATCATATATAAACAATCTTATAGTAATAGCAATTAAATAAAATTATTTTACAAACAAACATACCAATATGTAATACAAGTATTAGTAAGGCAGTATGATATTATTTTTAGTATTGATATCGTTTTATATATATCGATATCGAAAATAAATTTACTTTCAAATTTTTTTTTTACTCGTAATAAAAAGTTTTTATACATTTATTACCTATGTTTGATATTTTACGCCTACAGTGTACCACACAATAAAAAATAATATCAACAATATCAAATAATTGTATTAGCTAGGTACTTAATATTTGTTATAGTTTATTTATTTTATATAGTGGGCGATATCTAATTAATTCATTACATTTATTTGCTAGTAAAATATAAATTTCTTATGCATTTTTATATTTTTAATTGACATCGATATCAATATCGAAGAACGATGTATCTATGTATTCAATTAAATCGCTACTAGAAAATTTATTTGATATCGATTGTTCTTTGTTAATCATACATGTATTAACTTACAATTTATTTCCGTGCTACCACCCAAGATATGTCGAGGGATAACATTGGAACTGAAAACTTGAAATTTCCGCAAATGACATTACAGGGGCTCATATAAAAGTGTTAGATATATATACGTACAGTCGTACAACCAGTCTCAGTTATGAAAATTGCAGTTCAAATATAAATTTAAAATTAAAATTGTGTAAATTTTTCATTAGCATTCGATGTACAAATTAATAAATTATAGGACAAGTGATAATTAGCCGTTGGCCTGCTACAGCGGAGGTATTATGTCTAAACAATGTATACTAATCTGTGTTTAAGTCAGTCTCGTGAGCTGTGGCCTCATCTTCTTTTCTAAGTCTGATCTGAACTCTTGTCTCCAAATGCGCTTATGTCTATTGCATTTATAATAAAGACTAACAGTAAAACAGTCAGATTATATTGGATTAACT